TTTGTTTTCCTTGTTTACATATTTGTGGGGTTATGTTTGTTTGTTTTTCATATCAATTCATCCTTTTGTTGGTAAGAGGGCGTTGTTGCCAGAATAAATAGTAATTTTTATTTGATTTGGGATGAGTTGGTATGAATAACTTGTGTTTTCGTATAAAAATGTGTTCCTTCTTCGTCTCTTCCTCTGTTTGTGAGTAACCTTGGTGGTGTCCAGTAAAGATCGGATTGCTTGTGGATTATCGAAAAGCGTGCTGATTCTGAGAAGTGAACGGCGTGAAGACCGTAACTCAATTATCTCAATTGGGGCTTCTCATCCGAAGTATCGGGATCCAACGTTATTTTGTGACAAAAGTGAGAATACGAAAGTAAAAGTATTTTCAAGCGGAATCTTTTTTATTCGGATTATTTTTCCGACAAGCCATAGCGATCTTCTTTTTTAACACCCTTGAACACAGGCTTCCCGGAGTGGAGGTAATGTTGTGATGTTATTGTTAATGTTTGTCTAATGTGTTTTATTTCCGTCTAGGCCTTTTTTTTTCTATCCCTTTTTTTTTGTATCAACTAAAAAACAATATTACCAACAATCCCGTCTGGCCGAAGAAAAAAAAAGTGAACCCTGAAGCCGGTTACGACGCGGACGCTTGGGAACGGGGGGCCAATTTGTGACGTCCACGTGTGGGGAGGTGAGGAAGAAACTACGAACCACTGTCTCTTTATTGGACCATCTATTTTGTTAAGGTTTCGTTTATCAATTGTGAAACATTAATGGTACGTACCACATTTTTGTGTCGACCGTAATTTTATAATTTTTTTGTTTACATTCATGAGATTTGTAAGGTTTAATAAAGGAGAGGGAACACATTTACTTCTATCATTTAACCTTCACCATCCACTGCAGGAGGGCGTCGGGTTGGCATCTAGCGTGGTCGTGGCAGGTCTCAGCGGTGAGTTTACGGCTAGTGTCCAATTGTGGACCAGGAATCTGCTTCCNTCATGAGATTTGTAAGGTTTAATAAAGGAGAGGGAACACATTTACTTCTATCATTTAACCTTCACCATCCACTGCGGGAGGGCGTCGGGTTGGCACCTAGCGTGGTCGTGGCAGGTCTCAGCGGTGAGTTTACGGCTAGTGTCCAATTGTGGACCAGGAATCTGCTTCCCCTGAGATTTGGGCTGACCGGGTTGAGTTCAGGAAAAAAGTGGTAGCAGGGTATTAACAATGTTTCTGTAACATTCGTATGACACGGGATTTTCTGGATTTATATCAGTGTACATATTGTGCAATTTTTTAATCGAAAGATCATCAGGTAAATATAAACGTTTGGAATCATGCAAGCTATAGTGTGATTTCCTACCTTTTAGAGACTGAATATGGCAATGAATCCTTTCTATTGTTTGGTCTGACAGTTTGTCAGTTGTTTACCCTGTTGTCGATTGGAGGATTTCCTGTTGTAATGAGTGAATGTTGGATAGTCCTTATGATCTGAGAAGTTGTCCCAAAAATTGAAAGAAATGCCTTCCTGCATATTGGAACCTCAATCGCACCTGTTTCACGTACCAATCTAACTTTGTAACAAAATGCATGTTACTGTCTGCTTCATTTTTTCGTGGTCTTCTACGTTTTATCTGATTAATTGAAATTAAGCCAGCTAAATAAGCACTTTGATTGTTCTCTTTCTTTAACGGACACTGTTTCAAAACATTTTAAACGCTTGCAGGAGCAACTGTCACCACACTCATGGCTAGCAACACGTAACCTCTTATTAGCAGAACGTAATCTTCCTGTAACTTTCCTTTTTTTGTATTTCGTCCAAAACTTACAAACGTCTTATTTTCGTCTTCACTCGACATTATTAACACTGTATTAAACACGATCAGTAAGTCAATAAGAAAATAAAAACTTCAAGCACAAACACATTACAACGAAATAACTTGTCACACTGACGCAATCTGATGCAAACGTCACATTTATGCAAGCCTGGTGGACTTAGAATGTTCTTTCGTTGCACACTCAAATTTCAAAGCCGATTTCTATGGACTAGGATTGATATTTCATTATATGGACTTGATACAAAGCTAGAGTCATGTCGTCGCTAACAGATGGCACCAAAATCTAAATGAATTTTTGTGACTTAGTATGTTCTTCCCCTGTACCCTTCAATCGCTTTGAAATCAGTTAGCCCCCGACCTAACCCCCTGCGACTTCTTGCTTGCAGAGCTTCTTTATGCAAAACTTTCAGACATGACTCCAAGAATGCATAAATTCTAACGGAGGACATTTGGCAGATGTAGTATTCAAAAAGTAATTTTTGCTACTTTCTTCCCCATCACTTCGCGGCGTGCTACAAACCCTACCTTAAATCTTTCCTTTTACCGAACCCTGTATTTTAGTAGTAAGGTTTTAACCACAGTTTGTTTCGTTTTAATAATTATTACTGAAATAATTAATTTAATATCATAACTTTAAAAATCTATAATAAAGTTAAGTTTTTTGCAAACAGTGTCTTAATTAATTTTTACATTACTTTATATGGGAAAGGTTGGTTATACGTCTTATTCGGTATAAGTCTAAATATAAGCAACGGATTATAGTCATCACTGTATTTCTATTTACAAAATAAACATTACAGTGTCAAATGGTATTAACTGTGTAGCGATCACGGTTTAATACAGTGTCATACAATACAGTATAATCATGCATTTCAGTGTATTAAACCAAGTTCGCTTGTGGCTTTGTTATTTCACACCAACCTTGTGTTGATATGATATGAAATGTAGCGCCTCGGCCGCAAGCGACCTCGGCTTAATATTTACATTAACTTATATTTCAGCGTATTAAGCCATTTGCGACCGAGGAGGTACGTTGTTTGACACTAACTTTGTGTTAATATGACATTAACATGTATTTCAGTGTATTAATTAGGTAACTCAATTATGCACGATTTTGTAACATAATAATAATAAGCATTAAGTTATAAAAAATATTATTTTCCAAATTTCCTCCGTTATTTCTCTTTGCAATAATAGTTATTCGATTTTCTAAGTTAGCTTGAACGATTCCAGATAAACTAACATATTTTCTAACCACATCTAAATCGGTAACTTCCTCGTGGGTTCGTGCGAAATCATTAAATTGCAAAAAATCGTACCCATCTCCCCCCTTCGAAAGAAACGAATTCGTTATTACCGTATAACTCGAATTATTTTTAATCGGCTCGAAATATGGCACATCACATTTCGAACACCTCACCATAACCTTAACGACACGTTGATTCGGTTTTTTGTTCATATCATAAACAATTTTTAATCCAGAAACTTGTAAAAATTCCCCGTAAGTTGTTTCGCCGTTCGATTTTACGGAATTTTCAAGCATTTGAAGTAACGTTGATGTGTTTAGTTGCAAAGTAACCAGTTTATCTCCGAATGGTAAAGCTGCGTATAAATCGGCGATTGTTATGTTTCCTTCTTGTTTGGTGCAATTTATGCTGGCTGAGAATGTACCCGCGTTAACTAAAGCGATCGGGGAATCGGTCCAATACAAATTTGATCCGACAAATTTATCTGCTTTGTATTCACAAAACGCGTCTGTCATTAAGTTACCAAAATTACACTCGTTTAAGCGGCAGTAATAACCACCTTGAAGGAAAACTCGGCTGATTCCTAACACTTCATTTTTTAAATTTGTTATGTTTGATCTGAAATTAAAATGGGAATGAAATTTTTTAATTGTTAATTAATATTTATTTAATTATAAATAAAATTAATATTACTAAATAAATACATTTTCTTCTTGAGATCCAAGGACGGTAGAATTGGTAAATTGTTGTCATTTACCTCGTCATCGAAAATATCATCTTCTATGTTTAAGACCGTATGTTGTCTTGTCTTCGGAGCAAATGACACATTTCTTGTCACTTTTCTTAAGTTGTCTGGAACGTGCATGTAGGCGGTACTTCCAAATACTTTCAAGTGATCTAAAAAACCATTCTTCCCGTCCATAGCTTGTATGGTGTTATATTCGGGTTTCTTTTGTTTGTTGTACTGTTCAGAATGTATACAGCTGTATTCACAGCTTCTGCCCACAGGTAAGTCGGCAAATCTTTTGTATATGTCATAGAACGAGCACTTTCTACTATTGTTCTATGTTCTTTCTCCGCTTTACACTTTTGTTCATGACAATAAGGTGAACATGTTTCAAACTCTATTCACTTAACATTAAGAAATCTTGAAACTGCTCGTTTGTGTACTCTTTGCCATTGTCAGCACGAATAGTTTTGAATCTGTATTCAAACTTTCCACAATATTGTACGAATGTTTTGAAATGATGAAATATATCAGATTTGTGTTTCATGAAGTACACTTTCCTAAAGCCAGTAACGTGATCTTTAAATAGAACAAAGTACAGATGTCCATTTACGGAGGGAACGGACATGGGACCATACAAGTCCGTATGTATGAACTCTCCTGGTTTTTGGCATGGCCTAAACGTTCATGCCAAGTTTTTAAAGAAGTTGAGGAAGTTAATTTCTGGAATTATAGTTCGGATTGCTAATTTGTACAGATTTGTAACAATTCTGTTCGCAACGGCTTTTACCATATTTATTTTAGCTTCATTTCCTTCTTTGACTACTTTCATTCCTTTTTTGGTGACTGCTCCTTCTGAGAAAAGATTTTTCTTCAACTCCGGAACATACCATACATCGTTCACTACACATCTCCTCAAGGTAGATCCAATTAGCAAAGAGCACTCTATGTTCACTCTTCCAATACCTTTTACCATCAACTGTTCTCCATTACCAAGTTTTATACTTAAATTATCTTGTTTTTCGCAGGACGTCTTGCAATTTTAGATCTACAGCTGAATTGAAAGCTCCAAAATTTTTCGAATTGCTTGCAGTTTCCTGCTTTGATGCTTTGTTTTTGCAATGTTTGGCAAAATAACCTTTTTGCCTACAATTGTAACAAGTAATTTTCTTTTTATCAAACTTCTTTTCTGGTTTTTATTGGAGGTTGCAGCTAAGGCGTGTTCGGTAGTTTCTGTTGCGGTAAGGCTGGCTTGTTCATCAATCAACCTTAACGATAAATTTTGAAGAGTTTGTTTTGTTTCATCTACAAACAACCAAGCTTGTCTAAAAGTTCTATATTTACTTGGTAGTGTACTTAGAATCTTTGTTATGACAGCTATTTCACTTATGTTGTCTCCGCTTTCTCTGATTTTCCTGGCGATGTCAAAGGCAGAACTGCTCGTTTAGAATTAGCTGCTGCAGCATTATTGGCAAATGTAATAACATCAGTAAAAGAAGCTTTAAATGTACCCATAGATAAGACATGGTATTTTTCTGATTCAAAAATTGTTTGACACTGACAATTGGTTGCATATGTCATCAAAGGATAACCCAGCCGACCTGATTTCTAGAGGAACCGATTCAAAAAGTATCAAAGAAAACAGTTGGTGGCACGAACCACATTGGTTGGAGATGCCTGCAGAATCTTGGCCAGCAATGAAGAGTGAGATGACAGAAGAAATTCCTGAATTGAAAACTACGAATTTAATGATAACCCAAAACACTAATGTCGCACCAATTTTTAATAGATATTCTAGTTGGTCGAAGTTGCAGAGGTTGCGTTTTAAATCAAATTGTTCTGAAAATAAGGACACAAAAAACCGAGGAGTTTTGACTATTGAGGAATTGGAGAAGAGTAAAAAGTTATTGGTCAAATTAGCTCAAGAATTTAGTGACGATATATCCAATTTAAAATTAAACTGACCAGTAAGTTGAAAACTTTAGATCCATTCTTAGACGAAGATGGTCTTTTGAGAGTAGGTGGTAGATTGGCAAACACATATCAAATAATCAAATAATTTTACCCTCTAAACAAGTTAACTGAATTAATCATTCGTCATAAACATTTGGAAAATTTACATGCGCCAACAGCAACGCCAGTTCAAACTCTTCTTTCAATTATAACACTTAAATATTGGCCGAAAAATGTGATTAAAAAGATATTACGTTCATGCACAATTTGTTTTCGAGTACAACCTGGATTCATTTTTCCAAAGATGGATATGTTGCCCAAAGAACGAACAATACCATTTAATGATGTAGGTGTGGATTATGCAGGTCCTATACTAATCAAGGATGGTAAATTAAGAAACCGAAGGTTTATTAAGTCCTACGTTTGTTTATTTGTTTGTTTAGCTACGAAGACATTACATTTAGAGTTCTGACATGAAATCTGACACATTTCTGAATACATTTAAAAGGTTTGTGGGTAGACGAGGTTTGTGTCGATGCTTATATTCCGATAATTCTACTAATTTTAAAGGGGCTAAGAATTTAATAGAAGACTTAGCTAGCTTTGCACTGATTATGGATTGTCATTTGGCGTTTGAAGAGGCGGCAATACTAAACAGTGTCACACTGCAGTGGATAAAGGGACACTCGACTCACTTGGGGAATAAACACGCCGATAGGCTGACAAAAAGGGCTGATGGGAAAGTGCCCTGTTCCCCTTTACCAACAGTTGTCCCTTCTATGATATCTCATATTGAGTTAATCAAAAGCCTAACTCGCAAAAAGTTCCTTGACTGGTGAGATAGAGTTAAAAGGTGCCAGTTAGCTAAGCGGTTATTATTTTATCCCTCAGCTGACGCAGCACAGAAATTATTACGGGACTTATTACAGGTCACTGTAAGGTAAACAAACACCTTTATAACATAAAGTCTGTTGACAACCCTCTGTGTCGTGCTTGTGAACAAGACGACGAGATGGTGTATTACATCTTGTGTGACTAACCCTCAAGGACCTCAGATTAAGAGTGTTCGGGGAAGAATGCCCTACTACGGAAAGGCTGTATCCTAGCCTTTGATAACTCCTTAGGCTGGTTGATTTAACCGGAGAGAGTGTTGGGAGGATGCACAGTTGGGGTCTAAGTACTGTGTGAGTACTCATTCCCGCAAGAAGCCCTCACTTCGGTGGGATTTGAGAAGCTGCGTTTAAACGGGTTAAGTATCATTTGATGGGAATAATTGGTGATGAAAGACTAACCTATGGGACCTTTCCCACAGTTTTAATCCAAATTGAGTCAATCGTAAACTCAAGACCTTCACTTCCTTTATCCTCTGGTCCTCAAGATTTGGAATTATTGACTCCAGGACATTTTTGGATTGGCACGGCCTTATTGGGAAGTATAAATTCCTGCAAACCGATTAACAAATTACGAACAACTCTAAAAATTACACCAATCATTTTGGAAAAGGTGGTCATTGGAGTATGTGCATACTCTACAACAAAGGACGAAGTGGAGATTCGACCGAGAAGATCTTGTCAAAGTTGGAAGTTCTGTTTAAAGATGACAACCTCGTCCCAATGCAGTGGAGAACAAGAAGAATAGAAGAACTCCATCCTGGTCCAGATCCTGTTCTTATGTTCTATATGTTCTTAAGTTTCTTTATGTATTATTTTTTGAAAGATAACTTTTTCAAAGTGGGGGTTATGTTGCGACTCTCGTTCATAGATGTCGTTAGTGAGAGATCGAAAGGGACACACGTGTCGAGTTGTTACCCGCGAAAAAGGATCACAATTTAAATAAATCAAGTAAAGTAAGTGAGAGTGATTTAATTTTGTCCTCCTAACAAGTTGTATCAGTTTTATGGTAATATAGCATTAATTGTAGCACCTCGTCCGCAAGTGACCTCAGCTTAATCGATCAACATCATGCAGCATTGGTTATGCATTTCACTTTATTTGGCCGAGGCGTTGTAACATCGACTGTTCAGGTGTGAAACTATAATATATTATCTTATGTCCTTATTAAGTTTCAAATTAACAACATTATAAAACACTAATAGAATAAATTAAGCATTTTGCTAATTATGTATGAAATAGTAGCTGCCTACCAATGCGTGACGTCATTAATTCGAGGTGCACCTGGTCCCGAACTGTATATAGTAGTGATGGGCATAATCGAGATATATGAATAATCGATTATTTGATTATTAATCGATTGTTTTTCCATTCGATTATTTTTTCATTCCATGATGAAAGTTGAAATAAAATCTAAAATATAACAACAGTCTATAACAACAGCTTTATGGACATCATCATTTTCGAAAGCATTTTTGGCAGTTACTGCTCATTATATAAACGGAAGCCAATTGAACAGTTACCTACTGGAAACAAAACAATTGGTTGATCGTCATTCAGCAGGAAATGTTGCCAGCGCACTTCGCGAAGTTTTAACTTAACAGAGATAACGCTTCAAATATGAGAAACGCTATCACTGTTCATCTCAATAAGACTCACTAACCCTGTATAGCACATACGCTGAACCTATGTACTATGGACGCCCTCCAACATGCAGATCTACAGCAATTGCTCGAAAAATGCAAAAATATTGTGAGGCACTTTAAAAGAAGCACTATAACATCTGGTGAACTGGCCAAAACGCAGAATCAAATGAAACTTCCTCTGCTAAAAGTGAAACAGGACGTTTCAACAAGATGGAATTCTTGCTTGGCGATGATGCAAAGATTAGAGGAATTAAAAGTTCTGTTGTCAGCAGCAATGCCCAATTTTTGTCATCGGAAGACTGGGCACTAATTAAAGACTGCATATGTATTTTAAAACCTATTGAAGCTACGACTTCCGAGTTGTCGGGAGAAAAATATATAACATTGTCCATTATCATCCCCTTAATTCATGGTGTCCAACACGCTGTTGAGAATGCACAACCAATAACATCCACGGGAAAGATATTGCAAACTAATTTTCATGATGTTGAATCTTCAAAAATTTGTGCAAAGGACCCCAGATTAAAGATATTGGCCTTCGATAAGGTAATAAATGGTAATCAAGCCCTTAAATGGATTACAGAAGAAGTAGAGGATTTGATTGTGACTATCACTCAGCATCTAGAAACTCGAAATTCTGAAATATCTTGTACTCATTTTCGTTAAAAGTTTTTTTTGTTTATTCTTGCAATATTTCGATAATAGAGTATGTTTGAATATAAATTTTAGATTCCAGCAAGAATAACCAAGCTAGTTTACTTTGGGAGCATTTTGATATAAAGGCTAAGCAGGAATTCAGCGACACATTCTACCGAAGCACAAATGAAGCAGTACCTAGACCTACCATTGGTAGATAGGAAGCTGAATCCTTTAGACTTTTGGGAGTCCAAGAAGGAGATGTTCCCGGAACTATATAAACTTGCAAATAAGTATCTCTGCGTGCCAGCAACATCAGTGCCATCTGAGAGGGTATTCTCAAAAGCAGGCGAGTTAACAAAGGACGGAAGGACTAGGTTAAGCAATCATCTTTTTAAATAGTAATATGTAGTGCGATAAATATTTTCTTTGAAATATGTATTTTGACTGACTTTTTACTTCATATTAAACAACTAGTAATGAATACAAACATAAAACGTGGATTCTACTAATCATTTGAGGCTCTATTTAATTTAAATATTAAAGCGAGAACAACCAAGCTAGTTTACTTTGGGAGCATTTTGATATAAAGGCTAAGCAGGAATTCAGCGACACATTCTGCCGAAGCACAAATGAAGCAGTACCTAGACCTACCATTGGTAGATAGGAAGCTGAATCCTTTAGACTTTTGGGAGTCCAAGAAGGAGATGTTCTCGGAACTATATAAACTTGCAAATAAGTACCTGTGCGTGCCAGCAACATCATTGCCATCTGAGAGGGTATTCTCAAAAGAAGGCGAGTTAACAATGGACGGAAGGACTAGGTTAAGCAATCATCTTTTTAAATAGTAATATGTAGTGCGATAAATATTTTCTTTGAAATATGTATTTTCACTGACTTTTTACTTCATATTAAACAACTAGTAATGAATACAAACATAAAACGTGGATTCTACTGATTATTTGAGGCTCTATTTAATTTAAATATTAAAGCGAGAACAACCAAGCTAGTTTACTTTGGGAGCATTTTGATATAAAGGCTAAGCAGGAATTCAGCGACACATTCTGCCGAAGCACAAATGAAGCAGTACCTAGACCTACCATTGGTAGATAGGAAGCTGAATCCTTTAGACTTTTGGGAGTCCAAGAAGGAGATGTTCCCGGAACTATATAAACTTGCAAATAAGTATCTCTGCGTGCCAGCAAGATCAGTGCCATCTGAGAGGGTATTCTCAAAAGCAGGCGAGATAACAAAGGACGGAAGGACTAGGTTAAGCAATCATCTTTTTAAATAGTAATATGTAGTGCGATAAATGTTTTCTTTGAAATATGTATTTTGACTGGCTTTTTACTTCATATTAAACAGCTAGTAATGAATACAAACATAAAACGTGGATGCTACTGATTATTTGAGGCTCTATTTAATTTAAATATTAAAGCGAGAACAACCAAGCTAGTTTACTTTGGGAGCATTTTGATATAAAGGCTAAGCAGGAATTCAGCGACACATTCTGCCGAAGCACAAATGAAGCAGTACCTAGACCTACCATTGGTAGATAGGAAGCTGAATTCTTTAGACTTTTGGGAGTCCAAGAAGGAGATGTTCCCGGAACTATATTAACTTGCAAATAAGTATCTCTGCGTGCCAGCAACATCAGTGCCATCTGAGAGGGTATTCTCAAAAGCAGGCGAGTTAACAAACGACGGAAGGACTAGGTTAAGCAATTATCTTTTTAAATAGTAATATGTAGTGCGATAAATATTTTCTTTGAAATATGTATTTTGACTGACTTTTTACTTCATATTAAACAACTAGTAATGAATACAAACATAAAACGTGGATTCTACTAATCATTTGAGGCTCTATTTAATTTAAATATTAAAATGAGACAATCAGAGAAGTCGGTAAATTCCAAATCTATTATTTTTTAGAATAATCGATATCTCAAATGATCGTGTATAATCGATTATGGTCATTCGACTATGCCCATCACTACTATATAGCAGTCCTCTTACAATTAAATTCTACCGTCCTTGACACCAATAATTCTTTTATTATGCGTTCTTCGTTTCGTTCGAACTCTATCTTCTAAATTAGTATTAATCGCATTACTTTCTAAGTATTTAATTAATACTTCGTTTATCGTTTCATTTTCTTCGATTAAATCGGCTGTATCTTTCAAAACGTCGTAACCATCACCTCCCATCGCTAAATATTTCGAGGTTATAACCCTATAAATCTCATCATTTCGTATTGCTTCGTAGCGGGGCACATCGCAATTTGCGCATCGAATCAACACCTTATCGACGCGGTTAAATGACGGTTTGAGCAGATTATAAATCACTTTTAATCCGGATACTTGTAAAAATTCTCCAAATGACGTTTCGCCGTTTGAGCTAACAGAAATTTCTAACATTTTTATAAGACTCGTCGAGTTTAATGTTATAGTGATTAATTGGTTGGAAAACGGGAGTGCTGCTAATAAATCTGCTTTAGTGACGATTCCTCCGAATTTAGAAGCGTTTATGCTGTTTCTTATTGAACCCCCGTTTATGACAGCGATGGGGGTGTCAGTCCAAAATGGGCCATTACTTAAATCGGCTTTGTATAAGATCATTGCGTCTGTTAATAAGTTGCCTAAGTTGCATTCTAATCTGCGGCAAAATAATCCACCTTGCAGATAAACTCTGCTTTTTCCAATCGCTTCGTTTAATAACGATTCAACTCCTGGTCTAATTTGTTTTTGGGGAATAAGATTGATGATGATTAATAATTTTTATAGTTACCTATAGATGTTTAATAATTCCACAGCTTCTTTATCATCCGGGATTTTATCATCAAGCAATACAGGCTTGCCAATAAATTCTAAAACATTTCCTTCTAAATCCAAGGTGAGGTTTAAAATCCCCAAATATTTTCCACCGTATCCTACTTGAACAACGGGAATTTGCGCTCCATTTAAATTTTGAATGACAACCGGATAATCGCCGTAGGCTACATCATTAGTAGGGGGATCCCCGGTGTATAAAAAAGTGTGGGAATGCCCCCCAACGACGACATCAACACCATCGATAACTCGCGCGATTTTTTTATCAGTCTCAATTCCAGAATGACCCAAAGCGATGATTATTTTAACCCCTTTCGATTTTAAAACATCAACTTCTTTCCTCACAGCTTCGATTTCATCGGAAAATTTAATTTTTCCCACTTTCGTTAACGAACCGGTTTTAGAATTTATGTAACCAATAACTCCAATTTTTAATTTGCTATTATTCGGGGTTATTATCACGCTTGGTTGGATACATCTCTTTATATTCACTTCTTGTGAGAAATCTCCGTTTGCACATAACAAGGATTGATTGATTTTATCGCAAAAATTCTCCAACCCATCGAGACCTTCATCAAATTCGTGATTACCTAGCGCCTAAAATCGAAAATGTTTAATAAATTTTTAAGTACATTAATTTTTTTTTTTTACAAAAGCATCTGCTCGCATTAATTTAACAAAATCGGCTGCTATATTCGTTCTGTGGATGCTATACCAGATGGTTCCCGTGAAAATATCACCCGCGTTTAAATAAATTATTGGGTTATCTTCCGTTGAAGTAGATTTTATTTGTGTCACTAAATGCAACGTTTTTGGAATCCCACCAAATCCGTCATCATCACCGGCGAAATTACCGTGGATATCGTTGCTGTGTAAAATCGTTAAAATAATCGTTTTTGATAAATTAATTCTAAAAATGTTAAATAAAATGATTAATTTTATAGCGTTCATTATCTTTTTTTAAAATTTGAACTGTCAAAATTCGTTTATTTTAGATTGTCAAAATGATATTTGATCTAATGGTCTTATTATCTAAAAATTAACGCGCCATCTATTACAGAATAGATGTACTTGATACTAATATAATAACAAATTAGTTGTAATGTTAATGAAAAAAGTTCAAATTGTCTCAAAATGTATTTACGTCAAAGTAAAATATATAAAAAGTGGGATTAAAAACGAAAAATGAGGTTCGTAAGAATGTCGGTAAAACAGATATCGTTGTAAACAGCTTGGATATTACAACAATAGAAAAAAAAACCGCTTCATACCTTCAAATTTTTAATTAAACACCACTACTGCTAGTAATTAAATACCAGACTCAATCATGAAATATTGAAAGGTCCATTGATCTTTGAATGTTTTGCATTTAGTATATTTTCCATACTGGTAAATCACACACAAAAACAACAAGTCAAATCAGAATACTGATATGTATGGGTGTTGGGAATACACCAGAACTTTCTCGAACCAACGGGCTCCCAAAAAGATGATGGTCTATCCCCCCCCAGAAAGAAGTAGCTGTCAGTATCAAGAACAAAACATACATAACGTTGGCAGAAGACTAGATACTGCTTCTAAAAAACTAAATACTGCTTTCTGTAGACTAAATACTGCTTTGGAAGATTAAATACTGCTTTCTGAAGACTAGATACTGCCGACAGGTCTAAATACAGCGTCTAGAACACTAAATACTGGTTTCTAAAGACTAAAATTGCTTTGTGGAGACTAAATACTGCTTT